AAAAAAAAATAAAAAAGAATTGACATAACATTCATCATTAGTTGAAAGCTTGTACGTAAAAATTAGATATTTGAGTTTCAATAAAAAAATTAATTAGTAATAAATAAAATAAGTTTTTTATAAAAAGTGGTGTCATTTTAAAAAGAAATTTGAAATTTCAATTTATATTTAAAAATCAAAATTTAAATTTAAAATTTAGAAATATATCATATTAAATATTTATATTTAGATTTAAAAATTAATTATATATAATATAATCAATTTTTGAATTTAAATATTAATATTTAATAAGATAAATTTTTAAATTTTGAATTGAATTTTAATTAAATAAAACAGTATAGTTTAATGTTAGAATCTAAATTATTTTGAGAATCGAGATTAACATGTATTTTTTCCAATTATTCACATTTTTTGTTATTTTTTAATATAAAATTTTCTCGCTTAACATTGTTTACGCCAGGATTCAACTCTTAGTAATGTATACCACTTCCCTACCATTGTTATTCAAAAAAGATGTTAAATGAATAAAAAAAGAGATTAGTAGACGTCAGTGTTGATTTTTAAAAATAATTAAAGTTACAATCTATATTTGAAAACTGAAATATTATTTTATTAAATATTGAGATCTAAATTTGGAAATCCCTTATATATTTTAATATAATTTGTTTTTAAATTTAAATATTAATATTTAATAAGATAATTTTTTAAATTTTGAACTGTATTTTAAGTAAATAAAATGACATAATTTTATGTTAAAACTCTAATTATTTTTAAAAATCGAGACTATATGCACTTTTCCCATAAAAAGAAAATAAAAACAATAATCTTTTATGGACTCTAAATTTATTTATTTTTTTATCATATGAATATCCTAACCTCTTGACTAACATGATAAAGCAAATCGTTCTCTGCTATGTCTAGGTTAGTGGGAAGGTAGTGCTTAATTAGATTCATGTTTTGACAATCCATACTGGTTGACAAAGGATGCTTTTATAATCATGAATGTAAATGGCCATGTTACTTTTTAGATCAGGTGTTTAGATATAGTTGATAGTTGATATCTAACGATTTATAATTATTATTATTTAAAATTTAGAGTATTTAATTCATTAAATTAAAGTTAACTGCTAATATCTATTTCTTAAATGACAAAGCAAACACCCCCTATATTTATAGCAATTCAATTCAATTGTATTATGACAATATGACAAGTTAATGTAAAGCTAGGGAAGCTCTTATAATGAATTCATAAATTTTATTTGACTGATAAATTATAGAGATTAATATGTATCAGTTTTGATTAAAAAAAAAATAATTTCAAGCTATATTTAAAAATTGAAATCTCAATTAAAATTTTGAAATCCACTCTATTAAATATTGTTACATAGATTTGGAAACCAATTGCATATTATAATATAATCAATTTCCAAATCTAAATATTAACATTTAATAAGATATATTTTTAAATTTGAATTGAATTTCAACTAAATAAAATGATATAGTTTAAAGTTAGAACTCCAATTTAAGACTCGTTTGGTATAGCAATTTAAATGTAGCAATTAGTGATTTTGTCTAAACTGTTAACAATAGGTGTTTGATAAACTTATTTATTTCAAAACTACTACAAACCAAAATGTTCGGTAAAATATTTTATTTAACAATTTGGGATTAACAAATAACGATTAAAATCCAAACTACTAGTGAATTGAAAAAGCTACATAAACTAATTTTTTGTATCAAATCGTTAGTGGATTAAAATTTTTTAATTTTATTGACAAATTTATCTTTTTTAATTTTTTAATTTTTTATCATGATTTTTAATTAGTACTTTTTTAATTAGTTTCAACTTTATTTTTCGTCTTTAATAATATTAAGTAATTATTATATTTTTATTTTTACATTAATTTATCATAAAAATATATTAGCTTAATAAACAAAATTTGCTAATTAGATGAAAAGATTAATTTTTCTGTATTTTATTTAAAACTAATAAATTTTTTCTTTATTAAAAATAAAAATTAGTATATAATTACATTATTATAATTTATTTATTTTATTTTTATTATTATTATAAAATTAATATTTTAAATAATAAAAAATATATAAAAATACACTTAATTATTTTTAAACATATTCTTATCAATCATTTAATTTTAAATAATAATCGCTAACTATTGTATAATTAAATAGTTATATCAATCGAATCTGCTATCTATTATTCACTATTTATTATTTATTATCTACTATCTACTATTTACTTTCCACTATCCATCACCTACTATCCATTAACCCCAACCCGTTACCTGCTATTGCTATCGTCATTAGTCATTTTACTACCTGCTACTTGCTATCTACTATTTGTTATTTACTAAATTTTAATTATTTTACCGAACAAGCCTTTATTTTGAAAGTTATGATTGATATATACTTTTTTCTTAAATCATATATATTACAATAGAATATGCAGCTTTTTCAAATTCTTTTTTCTTATCTAACTTAAGATGAAATCTTTAATTTAGAACTGTAGGGATAAATATTCAACATCAAAGACCAAGAAGAAAAGGACAAAGCATTATTTTCTTTGGTACAAATAATTTGAAGATTGAATTAAACTTACAACTAAAAATAGATGTAATTTTTTTATTAAATCAGATGATTGATGGTGGACAAAGCCCTTTTAAGAAAGAAGTTAGATATCCTAATCTCATTAGGATTTTGAGACCGAAAGAAATAAATATCAATCAAAAAGAAGTTGAGGGATTGATTCTAGTATACTAGCCACGCTTTTTTTTTTTGGGCCGTCCTATCATACTATGCTTTTGATACAGTAGAATTATTCTTCTGCTCTGTAATTATTCTATTAATAAGACTTCTTTTTTATTTTTTACATAAATTTTGTGCTTTTATTCTCTTTATTTTTCTTTATTATTATCTTTCCATTTTACCTCTTTTTGTAATCAACTAGAGGCTCAAATTTTTTTCATCGAGAAATTTATTATTGGCCAAAGATGATATCTACCTATGAAAAATATTTCCCATTCTAACCCATAGGTAGGAGGTTTGAGCGGCATGGCTGTCGAATCTGCATTTAAAGCAAAGTTGTCTGTAGGTCGTGCACTAGTACGCGTACGGTAATCCTGGCATAGTATGTGTTACATCATATTCATTATATTTACATCATATACTATTTTAGTTTTTTTTATATTTATAATAAAAATCTCTTATATTAATTTTTATATTTTTTAAAATTAATTCATTTTTATCTAATTTAAGGGATACATTTGTTATATTAGTTTAATATTTTTAAAAAAATTAACACAAACAAACTTAAATAATTTAATAATAATCTTTTTACGTTAAAAATAAAAAATTTTGAATTTAAATATATAGTATATGAATAGAGTGAAATAAAAAATATGAAAAGATCGTCTTTCGTTATGCAATCAATATTAAAAAAAATTAACATCTTTAAATATTGTCTTTAAGATTATTTTAAATTTTATAGTTACAAACTTTAGTTTTTTATATGAATTTAACACATGTATGTGTATATGAAATAACATTTAATTTAACAGACATAGAAACAGATTAGTGTTCAAAAAAATTAAATTTTTAAAGATATATTTGGTTTAAAAAGATGAACTGAATAAATTTGTTAATTAATTAAATTATTGTATTTAAAAATATTTTAATTTTATTGATTAAAAAAATAAGTTTTCTTCCACTATTGCCTTTTGTCTTATTTTCCTCAAATTAAATATAATCAAATAAATCCTTATACAAAACTTAATTTGAAAAATTGAAACAAAACTAAATTATTGGAAACAAAATTCATGGATTAAAAGTATTTAAAATTATAAAAGTTATGCCAACCAGTACAACTGCAGTACTAAAATTTTCAGCTAATACGAAACTGGTATAGATCGATATGAGCGAAAAATTAACTAGTCCATATCAATTTATGTTATGTTTTGTAACGTCTTAAGGCTGAAATTGTATGCATCCAACGGTGCACTTCAATATTAATAATATTTCTTTTAAGGCAGGAGTAATCCAGTAATAATTTTTTTAAATAAAAAAATTTAAATTTAAATCACATATTATTTAATAATAATTTTTTTAAAATAAAAATGAAAGTTTCCTATTTGAGTCACCTGCATCAAAATATTAATATGAATTCGGGAAAAGGGACCTCAACTTTTTTTTATTTTGTTATTGTTTTTTTAAATTGAATTGTATAATAAAATAATTTTTTCTAATCTCTTTATTCATCTTATGTCAAGTTATTTAAATTTACAATTTTTTAGTTTTAGTAAAAAGAAAATATTATTAAATTATTTAAATTATTAATATCAATTTATTTTTTTAATATATTAAAAAATTAATTATTTAATTTTATAAATATTTAAATTTATAACTTTTATCTTAAATAAAAAATTTTAAATTAATAAAAATACCTACTTAACTAACCTTTTGTTATTCTAACCTGCTAAAATTTAATTGACTCATCAAATCAAATAAAATATACAACAATTGTTGATTAGTATGGCTAGGTGGGCGGGACGTACGACGCAGCAGTATCGCACACCAGTTGACGCCTTTGGTATGGTCCGTATGGACACGACAATAAAAAAAAAAAAAAAAAAAAAAAAAAA